AGATATATTGTATTTTTTAATCAACGGATTTAAATTTAAACTTTGAAAATAAAATTATTAGGTGCAATAGATATGAAGAATTAAATATTATGAATTTGATGTTTTGATTTACCATGATAGTGACTCCCATTTTAGTCATGTTTTGTTCATCTTCCTCTCATCACCATGAAAGCCTCTGCTTGCTTGTTGGATCATTTTTGGATGTTTGTGTTGCTTTCGAAAATTTATGCACGTACAAATTACAGGTGGATGCCTCTTTCCTACTTGTAATTAAGGAGTGGATATTTTCAAAAAAAAAAAAGTGGGTAGTTATTCTGAAGTTATTTTAAAATCAATGAGACTAATTAATTAGGACAATGGATGACGTGGTGAGTTAGGTCCATGAAATAATTTCTCACAAACTGATTCCAAAGGTTTCCAAACTTGAATTGATCGTGAGAGAATAGAATCGGTTCCATCATTTTAAAGAATAGTCATATTCTTATATGGATTACTGAATGTAAGATTACATATAGTAAGATAATTCATATCTGACTTGGTTCGATCTTATTTATTTTGAAAATCAAATTTGAGGTTAAGATTGATTAGATTTTTCAATCAAAATTGCAAGATAAGGGTATCAAATTTAAATATTTACTAAAATAAATTACATTAATTGTCATCCTTATTGTTGTTTTAGTATTATCTAAAAATAACACCAAAAATGAGTTGAATATTTAGAGAATTTATTTCAAGGATAAGTCAAAATTAAGCATACAAGGCAATATGTTGTGTGTTATTAGTTAATAATTATCCTCTTCATCCTCTTTGTTTCATCATCTTCACATATAAAAACCATCCATCCACCTACTTCTTCTCTTCATCCTTCTCTTCTTCAAGATGCCTCTTTTGTTTCGTCATCATTTCTCAGTGGATCCATTTGATCAGTAAAACAAAAATCTTTTAGAAAATTAAGGAAAAAAGAAATGGAGACCGGATCTTTAAGGCTAAGGCTCATGGCAGTCTTTGCAGTTTCTGGGAGTATAGTTTTCATTGCAAATGAAATCCATAGACGCCTCCTCTCTGATTTCTTGAAGAAGATCGAGTTCGAATTGGCTGGTAATATATACATACACACATGCACGCATGCATGCATACTTAGACGTATGCATACGTGCATGCATGTTATTTCTTGATGTTCTTGTTTAGGTTATTTTAACATTGCAGCATGCATGAATGGAATTCATTGTTTTTTTAGGGAATGGGAAATGTCAAGTGAAGAAAAGGGTTTGTTTTGTCGACGATGTGAGGGAACCATCGTCGAATAACAAGGAATACAGGAGAAGAAATCAGAGTGTTGCGGCCATTGCAAAGCAGGTTAAGGTTGGTGGTGATGATGCTGATAGACGACAGCTTCTTCAAATGCCTCTCAATAGGCAGGTTTTGTATAGGGGGATTCTTCAATGTAAAACCCTTTGAAAAGAGAGAAAATATATATTCTCTTTGTTATACATTGCAATTTGAATTTACATTTTTGTCTTTTGTTTTTTATTTTTGGATGGGATTCATGTTGTGTTTTTGTATTAAGGGTGTATTTGAACACCATAATGTAATTTCATGAAAGTATAATATTATCATTTTATCATGTAATTACAATAAATTATAATTTTATAAAAATGTAATTATTATTTTTTAATGTAATAATGAGATGGAAGTCATAACATTAACCCTTGCACGAATATGAGGAGATTCATGAATGTCTTTATCCAAAATATAGATCAAAATATCCAAAGGTAATCCAAAATCAAGAGGGAAACATCATATGCTATAGTCATGAAGTTGGCAGCTTCGTTTACCTCACGTATGATTAATTGACACCCAACGCTCTAAGCTCTGTTATTAAGATAAACGATGGCACATACTAGAGAGTAAAAACTGAAAAAAGATGGTAACAGAAACTTATAAGCATCGTTTACCTCATGTTTGATCAATCAAAACTCAATGCTCCAAGTTAATAGTAGGGATGTGATTAGCATCATTGAAATGATTAAATGATCTAATTAACCAAATTAAAAGATTGATGGTCAGATTAGAATTATCCGTTAGTTAAGTGGTTACAAATGTAATTTACCCTGAACATTAAACATGTAGATTTTCAAAACCACCCTGCCTTGTTCGATTTTTCCGAAGAAACTGAACATCGGCAACAACAAAGGTAGTGGAGATCAAACGATTTGATTGAATATGAAGTACTTGGTCAGATTCCATCACTTTCATTCACAATCTGGGATTCTCCTCCATTTCTCGAGACATAAGCCTCTCGCTCTTCATTTTTCATCACTCTCCAAATCATCAAAACAAACGAAGAAAGCCCAACAAGCTGAAACTTGTAGAATCCCATCACTCTTCCAGGAAATAACTGATATTTTAGGATCTGTTAATGTTACTCCAGATGAAACCAAATCTGGGTTTTCAATAACTCCACGAAACACAGCCAGTGAGCTTGAGTTTATAGAACAATCGTTGTCTAGAAGGCCGGGTGTTTGTCAAAATGCCCAGCAGAGGAGTGAATTGGTGGAAAAGGAGCGAAATGAGATAAATGAAATTTTTGGAGCTGTTAAAGTAACCTCAGGTGATATCCCATCTGGGTTTTCAGTTACCCCACGAACCAATGCCAGGGAGTCTGAGTTTATAAAACAATCGTCGTCTGGCAGGCCAGATGTTTATCAAAATGCCCAGGAGAAGAGTGAATTGGTGGGAACAGAGGAGAATGTAACGGCTTTGGATGATACCCGGATGGGGAATTCAGTCGAATTCGATGTTAGTCCAGTGGTTCATGAGATAACTAAGATAGTTAGAGCTGAAAACGCCTTGATTTCCATGGAGGAACAATTAGATAAATCAGGGTTTTCTTTTGAACCAGAAATTGTTGAGAAAGTGTTGAAAAGGTGCTTTAAGGTGCCTCATTTAGCTTTTAGATTCTTCAACTGGGTGAAGGTTAGAGAAGGTTTTAGTTATACAACTGAAGTTTTCAATACCAAGTGATGGAATGTTGATGCTCCGGCACAAAGGCCGGCATTGCTAAACTGCAATATGAAATGGAAAGGAGAAAGGAAATAGACAATGGAAAACAAACAGAGAGTATTAAGTTTTTTTTTTCACCAACTGTAGAAAATGGCTTACAATGATATTCAACACATTACAATGATTGGGTATTTATAACCTAATATTAAAACCCTAACAAATCTAACAAATTCTTAACTAACTGCCAACTAACATCAACTACTTAATAGTCTAACACCAAGTAATTTAGGTTGAGTTTAGAATGTTTCACTAACCTCAAATAACCATTACATTTTAATTTCTTAAATTATTTGACCGTAACAATCTAAATTATTTCTCAAGTTATTTCTTTTAACTTTAAAATATTTTATATTTAATGTAATTCATTAATTTTATTTTTAATAAGTTTTATAGTTTAATTATGTAATTTGAATGTTTAAATTTTATGGGAGGAATATGTATTATAGACTTTTAAAATTTCAATTATATATTTTTATGTAATTTTTTAAAGTAATATAATTTAAAGAAAAAAAAATATGAACAGAGTACCGGTGATACGAAAATGCGGGTACTCGAGCTTAACGGGCCTGGACACGAGCCGACACTTTGGAAACCTGTACCCATAAATGTGGCCACCTATATTTTGATTTTTCATTAATTCCTTTGCATAACTGAAACAAGTTGCGAACTTTGTTTAAAATCTCAAACAAGAAAGTTTAAAATATGTACGAGGCTCCATTGAAAAGCTTTCAAACAAAGTTTATATCAAGAATGATTATTTAATCGAACCGAGCTAAATAATTTTTATGAGTTAATTAACTTGAGAAATTCAGTTTTTTATTCAAATTTTATTAAAAGACAAATCAAATTTATAAAATTTAAGTGGTTTCTAATTATTCAAATTTAATCGAATAGTAAAAGTCGTTGATGAGAAGTATCTTCCTCGTTAGGCCAATTTCGACTTTTGAGACCAAAGGGCCCACTTTGATCTAATAAGAGACTTTGCTCCTATCGTTGAAAGCTTTTATGTCACCCTACTTTGCTTTAGTCATCCACCCACTTGCTTGAATTATTGAAAATATTTACAATATTTTCATTCGTAAATGTAAAATATTTATAGAAATGCCATCACGAAATTTGTTCATAAGCTTCTTCAACATGATAGGAAGGAGAGACAAGAAATAGAACTGTATAACATATGCTCTAATTGCTGATAAATATGATAAATCAATTGGTGATATTGTTGAATCCTTGACTATTAAAAGTTTTAAAATGGTCAACCGACTATTTATTATGTTTCAAACTCGTTATTTTCAGTTAAAAATTTGATGACATTCTGAGCTGTACGTTAACCGGCTGACTGAGATAAGATAAAATCTGATCATATCTTAGTTAACATGTTAACGTCAAACTCATATGACTGTTAACTTTTTAATAGAGAAGGACGAGTGTAGAACATAATGAACATTCGAGTGACCATTTTGTAACTTTTAATAGATGAGAGACTCAACAAAGTAACTCCCCATAGTTGATAGACCATTTTATAACTTTTAATAGTCTAAGGACTTAATAAAGTAGTATCTTATAGTCGGAATCATTTGTGTACTTTATCCTTTTTTTTCAATGATTAAATGGAATTATCTTACATGTCAACGTTACTGTTAAATTTTTAAGGGTATGTGACGTAAATGAAATTAAAATGTAACGTTAGTGATCATTTAAAAAATATAATTGAATGACTAAAAATAACAATAATAATAGTTGTGGGACTAAATATATAGTTTACCGTTTTTTAATATTAAACAACCTTTTAGTGGAGTTGTATCTATAAAATACTACAAGCTCCACTTGTATTAACACCTGCATTTCATTTCATTTCATTTCATTTCATTTCATCTCATCTCATTTCCTCTTGCAAGTAGTAAACACTTTAGCCTTCGTTTGTGTTTCAACCAGCAATGGCCGAAGGAATCGCCTTTGACATCGCCGGATGGCTCATTTCTGAACTGAGCTCCCATGTTATGGAGCAACTTGGCTTGTGGTGGAATTTCAAAGACGACCTCGACGACCTCAAAACCACCATCTCCGCAATCAAATCCGTACTTCTCGACGCGGAAAAGCAGTCCGTGACCAGCGAACTCGTCAAAGATTGGCTTGCAAAGCTAAAAGATGCTATGTACGACGCTGAAGACTTGCTGGATGATGTCCGTACCGAAGCCTTGCGGAAGAATCTGATGAGTGGGAACAAGTTCACCAAAGAGGTACGCGTTTGCTTCTCGAGATCGAACCCGTTTACTTATGGTCTCAAAATGGGACGAAAAATCAAGGCCATCAAGGCCAGATTTACTTCCATTCAAAGTCAGGCCAACATGTTGAACTTGGTTCAGCGTGACCATCCTGTGGAAACCTCTTTCATGGCCAAAAGGAGGCAGACGCACTCTTTTGTGTCGAAAGGTGAAATCATAGGGAGGGACGATGACAAAACAGCTCTTCTAAGACTCTTGTTGGAGTTTCAAAGTGAAGAGAATGTTTATGTCATTCCGATTGTGGGGATCGGAGGCTTAGGCAAGACTGCGTTGGCGCAGTTTGTCTATAACGACGAAATGGTTGAAAACCACTTCGAGTTAAGGATGTGGGTCTGTGTTTCTGATGTTTTTGATGAGAAAACAATTGTAGAAAACATCATTAAATCTGTAACTCATCAAGCACCCGATCAAAATCTCGAAATGGATCAACTGCAAAAACAACTTCGGGACAAAATTGACGGGAAAAAATATTTGCTTGTCTTAGATGACATTTGGAATGAGAACTGGGACCTATGGATTAGCTTAAAGAAGTTACTGATGGGTGGAGCCAAAGGGAGTAGGATAATCGTAACTACTCGCTCTGAGAAGGTAGCTAATGTCACTAGTAATTGTCGGCCACATTTTCTAAGTGGCTTGTCTGGTGATGATGCATGGTTTTTGTTCAAAAAAATAGCTTTTGAACAAAGATATGCAGATTCGACAAATTCAGGCTTTGTGGACATAGGAAAGCAGGTTTTGGAAAGGTGTCATGGAGTTCCCTTGGTCATAAGGACAATAGCTAGTACCTTATCTTCTAAAAAAACTGTAACTGAGTGGCTTTCTTTCAAAGATAAACTTGCTAGAATATCTCAAAGCGGCGGTGAGATTTTGCCTACACTTAGGTTGAGTTATGATCATCTCCCATCTCATTTGAAGCATTGCTTTGCTTATTGCAGACTGTACCCAAAAGATCATGAATTTGTTGTGCAAACACTTGTTCGAATCTGGATTGCACAAGGGTTTGTAAAACAATCAAATCCGAGTGAATCTCTTGAAGAGATTGGGTTCGAGTATTTTAAATGTCTGGTTGAAAGAAGTTTCTTTCAAGAGGTAGAAGAACATGAATTTTGGGGTGTAACATGTAAAATGCATGATTTGATGCATGATCTTGCTGAATCGGTAGCAGGGATGGAGAGCCGCATTCTAGATTCAAATTCAATTACAAGTGAGATTGATGAGAAATGTCGTCACGTATCGATTGATTTTTCATTGATTCATTTGATCAAGGGAAAGAAATTGCGGAGTTTGTTAAAATTTTCAAGCAGATATGAATGTATGAATGATGCAAATTGGGATTTAATAATTTCAAATTGTAGATGCTTGCGTGTTTTAGAATTAGATGAATTAGAACTTGATACAGTTCCAGGCTCCATTCATAAGCTGAAACATTTGAGGTACCTTGATCTTTCAACCAATTATCGTCTTAAGATCCTTCCAAAGAGTATTTGTAAGATGCAAAATTTGCAAGTGCTGAAACTCGACTACTGCTTTGAGCTTAAAGAATTGCCAAAGAAGATTGAAAAATTGGTGAATCTTACCCATCTTTCGTGTGCTTATTGTGATGGGTTAACTCATATGCCACGTGGAATAGGGAAGCTGACTTCGCTTCAGACGTTAAGCATGTTTGTTGTGGATAAAGACGGCTCCCATGGTGCTGCTGCTGCGGATCTAAGTGAATTGAGTCAACTCAACAACCTGAGGAGACAGCTAAGAATAAAAAATTTGGGATTCGTGAAAAATGCAAGAGAGAAGTTTAAAGCTGCTAATTTGAAAGGGAAGCAACATCTACGAGAACTGGTTTTACAATGGAGCGGAGATAGTGAAGATGAAGAGAAGTCACTTGAAGACCTCCAGCCCCATCCTAATCTGAAGAAGCTCTCTGTGCGTCGATGGAGGGGCGATGCCAAGTTCCCAAGTTGGATTTCTTTGCTCACGCATCTGGTGGATATTAAAATATGGGGTCCCAGTAAATTTAAACATCTCCCTTCCTTTGCTCGATTGCCACATCTTCAACGGCTTAGCATTTGTGATCTATCTGAGCTGGAGTACATGGACGGCAGTGAGCCCAGTGGAGGACAAGGTGAATCAGAATCATTCTTCCCATCGCTTACATATCTCATGCTCGGCAACTGCCCAAATATGCAGAGTTGGTGGAGGAAAAGCCCGATCGACGATGATAAGGATGGCGACAAGGATAGAAGAGCATCAACCATGGCATTTCCTTGTCTCTCCTATTTACGCATTGAAAATTGCCCTTTGAGTTCAATGCCGTTGTATCCATCAGTCGAATATAAGCTAATATTGGTGAATACCAGTTCAAGGCCATTAAAGCATACCATTCAAATGAGCGACACTACACCGTCAACCTCATCTCTCCATCTCTCCAAATTGAAATATTTCAAAGTGGGGAATATTCATGAAGAACTGGACTACGACATGCTAAACGAATTCCTGCAAAAGATGACTTCTCTTGAGCATCTGGAGATTATTGAACTTCCACGGCTGGCGTCTCTTCCCCTTTGCTTTCAGCATCTTGTTCAGTTGAAAAAACTAGAAATCGAGAATTGCAGTGGATTGAGGTCACTCTTTCCTGGATTCCAACATCTAACAAATCTGAAAGTGCTTCGTCTAGTAGATTTGCCCAATTTAACATCGCTTCCGGACGAGATGCATGGCCTAACCAGTTTGGAATATTTAGATATAAGAAGTGTACCCCAGTTGGAGGAAAGATGTAGGAAGGACATTGGTGCCGATTGGCATAAGATTGCTCACATCCCACGCATTGGGTTGAATGGGGTAGGTGCCCTCCAATCCTTTGAATCATTCATCCACTTTTACAACAATATATTGTGTTTTCTATCATCAAGCTGCGATTATAACTCTTACTTGTTTTCTATCTTCAGGTTACGGTGCAAGACCTAACGGAGGGCAGTTGAGTATTTATATGCAGAGAAACAGGAGGTAGTTCATCAAATTGCTTTTTAAACGTTTAAAGCATAATAATTAACTGCAATCATCTAATAACGAATGCTCCTTTTTGTCAGCATGAAAGATAATACATTCCTCAGCATTCTACTCCCAATTTTCGTCACTGAAGCACAGGCCCTCAAAGGTAATCATTATCACCCAATCCTCTACTTTTCATAATCCAAAACTATGTATCACATCATCACCACATTCTATTTGCAGGAAATTTGAGAAGATGTTCTCGTCATGCAATTACCTTCTTTCTTGGAGGTTCGTAACATCTTATTGCATCAAAGAATAAATTTTAAAAAGACCCCCTTAATTTTAAAACTTGAAAATCAGTCCCAAACTTTGTGAGGGACTCCAAGGCTTTAATTCAACAAAACTACTCATAATAGTAACCGGAGTTTTTAATATCAAAGTTATTCTATTCAACCATTAACACCGACAAAAAAACCCATTAATTTTGAATTAATCATACTATTTGAGTCGACTATTAGTTTGATATAGGCTAATGGCTTTATTGAATTTAAGGGTAAATTATCTTTAAGGTCTTTAGATTATTGATTCGATTCTATTTTGATCATTGGATAAATAATTTCATCAATTAAGACACTACACTTTCAATTTGATTTCAATTAAACCATCAAACTCAACTGTTAAGTAATCATTGACATAGCAATTAGGCAGATTTATGTGATAATACATCTCATTTCCAGAGATATCAACACAGAGACGGATAGATTGGCTAAGGGAGGAATCGGTCGAGTGCAACCATGGAAGGGGTCCATAGTTGGTTCCTATACGAGTTGGAAGGGGTCGTGGATGTTGGTTAATTGCTTTAGGCAGGTTTTCTGATTGGTGAATAGATTGTACAGATTAATGGATGTTCCTGTTATGTACTGATGTTATTTAATAAAATAATTGGGTACTCTTTTCCCCTTCCGCTGTCTTGATTGAGTTTCGGCTCAATTGAGTTAAGTGGGGGGTTTTTAACGAGGCCTGTATTTCTTTTCAAAAAGATTCGGCTCGAGTTTCAGTCCTGAACATATATATACATATATGTATGTATGTTGTATTCAAGCTTTATTGAATGCGGAAGCATCAATGTCATCACTGGTTGCGTCACATCGAGGTCGCATGAAAACTGAACGAGCCATGTACCTAAATCCCATTGGAAACCAATTATAACTTCGTCTAATACAAAGATTGAGAATAAAACAGTATAATGGATGCATATTTTATCATATTTCTAGAGGATTTACGTATCGCGATCGTGTTCATCGTGATATACTTGATTAAAATCCGCCCTTCCTCCTCCAATGCTTGTTGGTCGTTCTTGAAGCATTGGCGCAACCGCAACACGTACCGGTGCATACCGGTGGGGACGTGAAGATGGAGGAGATGTCGGACTCGGGAACTAAAGCATCCGTCTATATCTGTTGCTTCCCTCATCAATTCAGCGAAGACTCATCAATTCAGCGAAGAACATCTGATCTCACACTGAAAGATGAAGAAATGCATTAAAAGATCCTCCAAAAACTATGTATCATGAACTTTATATCAGCAAAAGAACCAAAATTCATGTAAACTACCAGTAAGAAACTGTGAAAAAACATCAACAGAGTAAGTTCTTCATTTAGAAGTAACCATATAGGATAAAATAGTAAGATACATTGTATTAAATTATCAGTTAAAATGGTAAGATATATAGTATTTTTAATCAACGGATTTAAATTTAAACTTTGAAAATAATATTATTAGGTGGAATAGATATGAAGAATTAAATATTATGAATTTGATGTTTTGATTTACCATGATAGTGACTCCCATTTTAGTCATGTTCTGTTCATCTTCCTTTAATTCACCATGAAAGCCCCTGCTTGCTTCTTGTGAATTTGCTTGTTGGATCATTTTAGGATGTTACTTGTGTTGCTTTCGAACATTAATTGTCATCCTTTTGTTGTTTTAGTATTATCTAAAAATAACCACCAAAATTGAGTTGAATATTTAGAGAATTTATTTCGAGGATAAGTCAAAATTAAGCATACAAGGCAATATGTTGTGTTGTTGAGTTAATCGATTGACGGAATCGGCCAAGAGGGGGGTGAATTGGCAATTAAAATTTTTGTGGAAGCTTTTGCAGAAAATTGAAAGTAATTGCATAGCGATTTACAGTGGTTCGACTTTCTCAAATAAAGTCTACGTCCACTACCTTAGCTATCCACACTAAGGATTTTCCAACAAATTCACTAATTTGTTCTTTCTTTTGAGGCCAAAGAGATAACCTTACAATTCCCTCAAGAGTATACCCCAACTCTTGAGAACACTCTTTTTCCCAAAGAGAAGATTACAAATTTGCAAACTTACAAGAAAACCTCACAAGGTAAGATGTTTGCACAATTCTAGAACAAAGAAAAGAACACTCAAAGATGAATACAATTGAGCACAAAAAGTGTTCTTGAAAGCAAAATGAATATTGAATGAAAATAGGCTTGAAATGCTCAAACTTGAGGTTTGATGCTTTCTCTTTGATTCTCTCTTGATTCTAGTTGCTTGATGTTTCTTGTTGTTGATCAATGGCTTCTAAGCTTGCTTAAATACACCTTGGATCACTTCTGAACGTTGGGGATTATTAGAGAAGATATTATAGCCGTTTTAGTGTGAAAACATTTAATAAAACAGCTTGGAGCTTGGGGGGAATCGGTTCCCCCTTGAAGGGAATCGGTTCCTAAGTGTAAAATTCAAATATTTCGACCGTTGTACAAGGGGGGAATCGGTACCCCCTTGGGGGGGATCGGTTCCCTCCGAGCATACTGGAATTCTCGGAGCAAAACTGTTTAGGGGGAATCGGTTCCTCCTATGGGGGGAATCGGTTCCCTCCGAGCATTCTGGAAATCTCGGGGCCAAAACCATTTAGGGGGAATCGGTTCCTCCTATGGGGGGGAATCGGTTCCCTCTGAGCAATCTGGAATTTTTGGCTTTGAATTGGTTCGAAATACTTTGTAAGATTATTTTGAAATTGTTTTATGATTAAAACTTAATTTTACACTTAAGTAAGGATTAAAAATGATTTTAGAAATATTTGGAGTAATGTTTTGATATTCGAATAGTTATATCGAATATACTTAGAAAATCATTTGGAAAATCTTAAAATCCATTTAACTTAATTTGTTATATCGAAATATCAAAATGTTTCAACAATCTCCCCCTTTTTGATATAACAAAACATTTTAGTAATTTTAAGATTTTTGAAATCAAGTTTTGAAATTACTCCCCCTTACTTTAACACTTCTTCAATTTATTATGTAAAACATTGAACACCTTCAATTTATTATGTAAAAACATTTAACACCTATTCTTCTCCCCCTTTTTGTTAAATCAAAAAGACATTGTAAAACAAGGTTTTGAAATCATTTAGCCAATTGATTTATTAATTATAAGCTTAAGCTGCTAAGATCACAATCAAAAGAGAGGTTAGCCATTAGTTTCATAAATCAATATTCATAATAATGTGATATGGCAAAATTGGTCATATTGCTAATGATGATGCAAAAATGAATAAAACATATAAGTTCACACTATTCATAAATCCAAAATCCAACAATCCACAAAATCAAACAATCCAAAATATCAAAAATGTTGAAACAATATTCTTTTAGTTCAAAGTCTTAAAACTAAACACATAATCAAACATCCGGATCGGTAGGAGGAAAACGGGCTCGCATAGCAGCCATTTCATGAGTTAGTTCATTTATACGAGCATTGGTTGCTTCATTATTTGCACGCATCTCCTGAAGAATCTCTAATTGTTGAGCTCTCATTGTGGATAAATGAGACTCTATAGAGGAAAAGCGCGAATCCATTGTAGCATAACGGAAATCAAATGTCTCCATAAAGGATTGAAAATATGGAGGCATTTGAGTCGAATGTTGTGCGTGCTCCTCGGGTTGTTCAGGTTCTTCTTCAGCTTCATCAATATCCCTCATTAATTGTTCAAACTTGGGATCTTCGTCAGCTTCGGGTGGAGCTTGTGAAGAACTAGCTCTCGGAGTAGAAGATCGAACCCATGCACCGGTTTCCTTATTTTTGACCCATCCCGCTCTTGTTAAAGAAAGAAGATTGATTTGTTTCTTAAGAGGAAATGAGGCATCTAGACCAACTCGGAGTTCAGCTTTAGAAAAGAGATTACTAAGAATACAACCGTAAACTAGTGAAGAACAGAGTTTCTTATTTGGCACTAGGTTAACGGTTTCAACAATTTCAGCAAAGATAATCTCGGAGAGGTTTATTTTTATATTGTTTTCAAAACAGTGCAACCACCAAAGATCTAAAGCTCTAAGAGTTGAATATCGACCCCCAGATGGTCGAAACCACCAAGTGATCATGAGATGAAGGAAACGCTCATGGAGATCTAAAACACTTGCACTATCATTCCGTTTATATCGTGAGCCTAAAACTTGTTTTTCGTTTGATAAACCTTCATTGTCCAATCCTAAGGCATTGGCTATGTAATCCGGATCAAGATGGAAATATTGACCTAGGAGGTAGGAACGCACTCCTATGGTTTTGGTTTTGTCACGATTTTTGATACAAACGGCATTACAGTAGAAGATACGAACAAGTTGATGATAGACAATGGGTTCAAGTTCGAAAAGTTTATCAAATTTCCATTCGTGCAAGATAGGGAGATATTTAAAGTTAATATCAACCATAGTTTGAAGAGATGGGATACGTTCTTCCCTAATCTTATACGAGTCAAAATATTGGTAAAACCAATAACGATAATCTTTAGGACCCGGTTGATTGAAACAAGAATTTTGGATAGTCAAGTTAGGATCAAGATTTGGAATAGAATTTTGAGGAATAGGAGGAGGATTTGGTTGACGACTAGAACGACTAGATGAAGACCTAGGACGTTTAGGATTTGACATGGTGAAGGAAATCAGAATAGATAGAATAACCTGCAATTTTAAAACAAATGTATGCAATTCAATTAATCCCAAAACTCAAATGAGTCCTCAATATTTCAAGATTCTCTAAATCAATCCTAATGGGCAAAGTTTTTGAAAAACTTTTGAAAAATATGGTTTTGAGAAACAATATATGTATAGTTTTTCATAACAACAACATAATTTAATCAAAACACAATAATTTGAAAAATAACATTTTTTTATTTCGAAAATTTAAAAAAAATTTGAAAAATTCTTGTGTTTTTGATGAAATTAATTGTAACATCTAGTTTCTAATCCCTAAATAATCAATGCCCGATCACTATTTCATCCTAGAACTAATTGAAACTAATCCTATGTTCAAAAACAATGAAATAGAGAGTTTAGAAAAATTTACCTTGAAAGATGAAGATTGAGAGGATTTAGATGTTGTTTGCACGATTTTAATGATTCCAACAGGTTTAGAAGATAATATTTGAAGCGAATTCTGATTAATATCGATGATTTGAGGCAAGAAAGGAGATTTGAGTGTTTGAGGAGGGTGAGAAACGGTTTGAAGAAAAAATAAGGGTTTTGGGAATTTTGGGGTGTTCTGCCCGATTTTAACAGAACCCCAGGGGGGTATCGATTCCCCTGTGGGGGGAATCGGTTCCCCTTCAAAGGGGGAATCGGTTCCCTCAGGGGGGGATCGATTCCCTCTGCACCAAAATGCTAAAATCCGATTTTTTAAGCACAAAATGCTAAATTAATCTTTTCTAGTGGTATTGACAACTCATATATCAAAAATTAATTATGTTCAAACAATTAAATTAATCTTTAATCGATTTTTGAACATAAAATTAATTTTCACTAAGAATCACAAACTCCCCCTAACTAATAGCAAGAATGCAATCAAAAATTATTATTATAAGCATTTTTCAAGATTTATTAAAAGTGCTAAAATTATTTTAAACACTAAGTGAAGATAGGTTGGTCAAATCTAATTCTCTCCTAAGTGTCCAAAATCTTTCCTTGTCTAAGGGTTTTGTAAAGATATCCGCTA